TATTATTGTTATTATCATTATTATTATTATCTATTCTTTCTTGTAACAGATCAACAGTACTAACTTGTTCAGCATACACTAGTTGTTTAAAAGCGCCCCACAAAAGAAATCCAAGTGGTTCAAATCTGGAGACCTCGCAGGCCAATGTACGGGTCCATTTCTGCCAATCCATCGTTGTCTAAAATGATTATTAAACCATGCGGTTTTGTCACGACGAACATGTGGTGGGGTACCGTTCTGCTGATACGACATTCGTTGCTAACACACATCTAACACATTTTCTATGTCATTCTCTAGAAGAGCTAAGTATGAGTTTCTTTTAAACGTTGTGGCAATATGTGCATAAACAGTCGACCATTGAAAATGCCGCACCAGAAATTTCTAGAAAATCTGTGTTAGAGTGGATTCTTACAGAACGGGGAGTTTTTAACGATCAAATATGTTCATTATGAGAATTAAAGGGTCCACTCCTCGTAAAAAGCTATTCAGCTGACCACAAGACCAAATCAACAAAATATGCATTTTGATTATGCATTTTCAGTAACCATTTACAAAAATTTTGCCATTGCACTTCGTCGCCGGGTTGCAGACGTTACACATTTTGCCGATGGTAAGGATGTAAAAATTCCTGATTTAAAATTCTCCACGCCAGACTTTGGGAACATGGGAACGCAGCTGCAATCCGCCTAGTACTTGTACTAGGATCATCCAACGCCAAATCAGTCACTTCCAGTTCCTCTTGAATAGTGTGCTGGACACCATGGCTTCTAACTGAGGGAAGTTTGGCATTTCAATATTGCCGAAGTCCTAGAATTGAATGCGTAAAAACCTTTGGGGTAGATTGGTGACTTACACAAAAATAATATCAACGCGCTCATCATTGCTGAATTCCGTTTCGCAACACTCAAAAATGTAAAAAAGATACACTTGACCACTTGGCTTTTAAAAAAAAAATTATAGTAGTAACGATTACAACCGTATAACACATAACTTTGACAAACTTAGATTTATAATACAACTGACGACTAAAACATTTTCAGAATGGTGACACCCGGTTGCACAAGCATCCCTAATACGTAACACCGAGTGCGACTTGAAATTCGTATTCGGTGGGAAAAGTACACGGGAAAGATATTGTGGGACCCCAGCATACACCGCTTTTTTATTGTGCGGGTCATTGTAATAATGAATATAATTCTACATGTAAATTCTGATAATTCATAAATCAATTTTAATAATTCTATGATAATTTATATTTACTGAACGCAACAATATATTTTGACGTGAGTAAGGCATTTTATCAAAAAAAATTAGATGACTATAGATTTAGGTATCCAATAAATGACGGGCTTCAGTCCTTCGTGTCATGTCGCAAAATTTGTGTTAAAATGGGGAATGTTACATGACATTGTAAAAATATCAATATTGGTTTTATTCATCAATGACACGTCCATCAGTATAGCGGATGACCCACCAGAAGAACTTTAGTTTAGAAAGTAAAACCAAATATATGTGCTATAATAAACGTAAGTCACCAATACCGTTGAAGTTAAATAATTCAGTTCTTGGCAGTGTTGAACAATTTTTTTAGGGATAATAGTGGATGAAAGACTCAACTAGACTACGCCATGAAAAAAGTCAGTTCATCGTATTTTGCGTTGCGTAACTTAATAAACATAATGAGTACTAAGCATTTACTTAATGTTTATTTTGCAGCCGTCTATCCTCATTTGAAATATGTTGTCATCTGCTGGGGTTGCTCTCAGGATGCCCAGCGCGTATTCATATTGCAAAAAAGGATTGTAAGGTTAATATTATCGTTGAGCCCTCTACAGAGAAATCATAATAATGGTTTTACATGCATTGAGGCTTAGCAAAAATACAACCTTCGCAACAATAAGGACATATCTATCGTAAATTACAATTTAAGCACTTACCTTAAAGGTCCTGAGTATATGTATGCCGTTATATACGATGAACCACCTAATGATATCAAAACCTTGCTACTAACTCTTTCAAAAAACGTGTGCAAGCATTTTTGGTAGAAAAATGTTATTATATTAAATACAAAAATTATCGGATAACCTTTCAGGTTCAGGTCTTCTTTCCTGTTTCTAATCATCAACACTACTTTTCTGGGGATTGCGTTAATTTCTAGAGCAAGAATTTTTTTTGGATAGGAGTACGCCCATACGTGTAATTTTCTGCTAACCCTTTTTGAGGTGTTCCACAGGGTGTCCCAGAAATAATACGCCAGAGTGACACGGGAGGTAGATGGGCTTCAGATCAATCAGATAAAATCAACATGACGTTAGTAAAAGTCTTATAGTTCTTGAGATATGGCCACTTTTAAGTTTTTTTCAAAAAGTCCCTAATCTTTACTCCTTTTTTGCCTGTTTTGGCTATAAAGAACATTTAACTTATGATTTTGCTCCTGGGTTACCATTCATAGTTGGTTGAAGTAACTTAGTATTCATTTTATTGAAGACTAGTACGGTATGCTTAAAAAAACTAAATTACTACATTTCGTTTCAATGCAAAAACATTTACTAATTACCGTGAAAGAGAAAATGTATCAGACTGAAATGACCTTAAAAATTAGCTATTTAATGCTCTTTCAAAAATATTATAACATCTGTAGAAGTTATTTTTACTAAAACCTGAATGAATCCAAGTTTTGTCATTGAAGTCGTAATACTTGCGTCCAATTTTGTAGTTGCTGTAATCGCGGTCCGCAGGTACCACCTGAATGTTTTAAAATCAATACAGCCTAATTTCATTATTCTGATGCCTGCTTACAACAATGAATAAAAAAGGATAATGGATAGCTGCTTTAGACATTTACTAAAATAAATAGCGATTACAGCAACTACAAAGTTGTAATTTTGATACGAAAGACAGCTGCATTTATTATTTTTTATTTGTAGTATTTTGCAAGTATTGCGACTTTAATGACAAAACTTGGAATTATTCAGCTTTAAGTAAAAGGGACCTACAAATGTTAAAATATTTGCAAAGAGCATTTTATAGCTAATTTTCTGATTCAGTCTGGTACATTTTTTTCAGTCATTAGTGAAACTTTAGTAAAGGTTTTCGCATGGAAACCAAAAGTAATAATTTGTTATTTTTTAGCATACCGTGCTAGTTTCTCAATGAAATAAATACCTGGTTATCTCAACCACCTATTAATGGGAAAACAATCATAAGTTAGATGTTCTTTATAGCCATAACAGGAAAAAGGAGCAAAAAGAAGTGATTTTTTGAAGAAACTTAAAAGTGGCAATACCTCGAAAACTAGAAAACCTTCACTAAGGCCATGTTGATTTTATCTGATTGATCTGAATCCAATCTATCTCCCGTGTCACTCTGGCGTGTTATTTTTGAAAAACCCTGTATGTATATCCAATATTTTATATGTTTAATGACTTATGTTATGTAAGTTACTCTAGGTTCTTATTGTTTATCATTGAAGCATTTGAATTTATCTGCAATTTATTTATTTACTAAATTTATTCCCTGAAATGCCTAGTTGGTCCCCGCATTGCCGGCAAATACCGTAACAGTGATTATTACAACGTTTGACTAAGCATTTCAGTCATCCCTGTAATGACTGAACAATTTCAGTCATACACCGTAACAACCACATTAACTTTGTTACTGCATTCGCCTATTTTAGTCAAACGCTGTAACTAATACAGTGTTGCCCCAATGAAGAACATAATATGACAAGGTACTACTTTATCAATAATATTAAAAGAATTAATCGAAAAGGGAAGACGAATAGATTTAAATGTTGTCTTTATTATAACATTATTGTTGACATTAATCATTAATGTATTAAATCAACAAGAAATATCCTGAAACTATCAAAAGGAATATAAAACAATAAGTACCCTTTAAACAAACAAAATGCATAACTGCGAGCAGTGACAAACGAATAAGAGTTACATCGAATTATTTTATATTTTATTTTATTTTAAACATTATTTGTTAAAACATGTTAGACTTCTACGGCACCTTGAATTACAAATATTTTTTTTTAATACAAATACATCTATTGGATAAACACTGCTATTTCGCAGAACAGAAAAGGCTATGTGTATACTCAAGCAAATGAACACAAAACTGGTACAATGAATGACTGAATCAGGTAAATGCAGTAACGAAGTTAATGTGGTTGTTACGGTGTTTGACTAAAATTGTTCAGTCATTACAGGGAATGACTGATATGCTTAGTCAAACGTTGTAATAATCAAACTGTTAAGGCGTTTGCCTGCAAGACGGGGACTGAATAGGCATTCCAGGGAATGGCGAATTTCAGCGTTTGACGCCGACATATATTCAAATTTATCAATGCTAACAATATCTCAATCGGTGAGCCCCAATAAAATTTTGTTAAGCGAAATATTCATCACCTATTCTCCAATGTAGGTAAATGCAAATGTTCTACATGTCAGCTCTATGATATTCAGTCATGTTTAAGTTCATCAATTGATTAAAGACTTCACTATTCGATTGGACCGTTTATCTACTGTACTATAAACATAGCGCACACTCCCCACACTTTTAGTAACAAAATTCATACGTAGAGGGAATATGCATGGCATTAATATTAGATACAGAGAGAGACTTTTTCAAAACACGTTGACTGCCACCATGGACTGAAAAAAAAAATTCCCTCTTACCGTAAGACAATTCTTCCATGATTCCTCTCAAAATAATCTAAAATGCAAGCAGGATAAAAATAAAACCCAAACAAAAATAAAGAACGCTGTTTTTACAACTATTTTTTTGTGGTGACACATTGGCATCACGCGGCTGGTCATGACTAGATTATGTCGGTTGGCCGCGTGAGACCAACGCCTCACCACAGTTTGCCTAAATGCATCGCAGTCTAAAGAGTTTGTCGCGTATATCAGTTTTCTTCTTATTAGTTTGATCAATAGTTTATAATATAATATATATATATATATATAATCGATACAAGTAGTGTTATAACAATGTCATACGAGCCAGAACAACTCCGCCTCCAAAAACTTTGGCAAGAACTGTTATCTAAAGACGAAATAGACGATGAAAACTTGTTTGGAGAAACATCACCTGATGAATATCAGCCTTCTGACTCTGATTCGGATTCAGGAAATAAGGAAAGACGAAAAAGTGAAAAATCTGTAAAAACGACATTTGTTTTTGATAAAAACCAACCTCTACTTCGACAGCTAGTGTACAGGACCTTGTTGATGGAAGCCAACCGTCAACTTCAGGAGCCGTTGTGCAGAAGTTCGATGCTGCCAGTATACAATAAACAATTAAAGATCTCATAGGTCATAAGGAAACGTTGCTATGCGTAAAACTCTGCAAACGACACTAAAATGGATAGGTTGCGAAAAGCACTACTGCTTAGATTGTTTCTTTCAGGTTCACATTTGTACCAGAATTAATTAATATTTTCAGTTTCACATGTTTAAGTTCTCGTTTTGTTTATCTTTTTTCTTTTTAAAAGATTTGTCATAATTGAAATATACTAAGTGACATATAAATCCGAACACCCAGTTTAAATGGTTTTATTTTAATAAAAGTTGGTGAATGTATTTATCTTACTGTAAATAACAAGTGAAAAAATTGTCAGCCTTATCAGTTGGACATTCCGGTTTTTATACTGCTTTTTTTTAATTCACTAACGCTCTAAAAATGAATATTTCAGCCCCAGTAAAGAATCTACGTTGGCGGATTTTGGTTCTTGACATCCTTTACGATCGGTTACGATGCCTAGAGTACGGAGACCTGTACGATTTCGTCAACTTAGTAAGTTTGATAGGGGCCGTATAGTGGGACTTCGGGAAGCTGGACTTTCTTTTCGGGCAATTGCAGTTAGAGTGCAAAGAAGTGTAGACACTGTGGTTAGGTGTTGTCAGGCATGGCTTCGAGAAGGCCGTACGCAAAGAGCAAGGGGCACTGGACGCCGCCGTAGAACAACAGACCGTGAAGATCGCCGCCTAAGATTATTGGCCTTAAAGGACCGTTTCTCCACTACCAGGTCCATTGCAAATGAATGGTTTGCAGAACACGGAAGACCTATTGGCATGCGAAGTGTTTACCGATGAATGAGAAGTTTTGGCTTGTTTTCATACCGGCCACACTGGGTCCTCCCTTTAACTCGAGAACACCGACGTAATCGCCTGGAGTGGTGCAGACAACGGTCACTCTGGGATCAGGAATGGAACAGTGACGAGTCTCGATTTTGTTTAGGCATGCATGATGGTCATGCCAAGGTTAGAAGGCGACGTGGTGAAAGGAGGAATCCACAGTTTTTTGTTGAAAGACATGTTCATCACACTGTTGGAGTTATGGTTTGGGGTGCTATAACTTAAGGTTCCAGGTCACCTTTAATCTTCATCAGAGGTAACATGAACGCGCATCGTTATATCCACGAAGTTCTAGAACCCCATCTTTTACCCTATCTTGACACCCTGGCAGATCCAACTTTCCAACAAGATAATGCCCGACCACATGTTGCAAGAGTCACAATAGACTTCTTTCAACATAATGATGTCACATTGTTACCATGGCCACCAAGATCTCCCGACTTATCCCCAATTGAGCACGTGTGGGATATGATGGGTAGGAGATTGCTCAATTTGCAACGTCCTCCTCAGACTCTAGAAGCACTTCGAGAGGAGTTGGTGGTTGCCTGGAATGAGATACCACAGGAGGACATTGACCACCTGCTCAGAAGCATGCCTAGGCGCGTTGGAGAATGCGTAGCACATCAGGGTGCATCCACACTTTATTAAAGGTCAAAGGGCTTTAAAGCAGTGCAATCATTTTGAAATTTTTATCATTTACTTATTATGCTTCATCAAGTACTTATACAAAATTTTATTAAAATAAAACCATTTAAACTGGGTGTTCGGATTTATATGTCACTTAGTATAATTACTTAGAAGTAAAAACCAATGAAAACTATAACTTCGACTTTTACTACAATATTTTGTCATGTGAGACCACAGTGGTATCACACAACTAAAGGCCAACAGTTTCTACGCGTTCATTGGGCCCAGGGTTGCCAACACTTCGGTAATCAAATCTACTAAATCACACTGCCAGATCTACCAGAAATCTACTAGATGAAAATTATGAATTTCATAAATCTACCAGAAAATCTACTAGTTATAGCTAACCCTCATTTTGCAGTTAATTACGTTTTAGGTTTTAAAGGCGTGTGCGCATATTATGTATTTTTAGTTTTTACTCTAATTTAGATTTTTGGACATATATTATTTCAAATTAGTAATACTATATTGTGAAAATATATTTTGTAAATATTAAAGATAAAGGTAAATCTATAAATAAAAGCAGAACATTTAGTAATATTGCAAAAATATATTTTATCTAGAAACGAAACAAAAATAGACGCATTAATTTTAGTCCTTGCACGAATAATAAAAAATACACTTTCTAAAAATAAAAATAATTCACTATTAATACAGTCAAATCTTGCGTTTTCCTTATGCTTTTTGGATTCACCATGGCTCTTAAGGTCGGCGTAATGACTCGTAATTATTTTACTACAAAATTTGCATTTAGCTTCCCTTCCTAAAGTGGTGTCAATAACCAACAGCCATTCTTTTAAACTAGGGTCCTTTAACCATGCGTCTCGAAACTTTTGAGTATATTGCGGTTTAGGCATGGTTCTGTAATCTGTAAAACATAATAATTCAAAGTAATCTACATCATATATGTATCAGTATCATGCTCACTTACCAAAATCAAATAATTAGGCAGGCAGTCTTAAAATAGCAGAATAGTATGCTATAGCTACTAGAAAGCACACAAATTATACTGTAAATAATGTTCATCATCGTATACGAGATAAACTTCAATTGTCTGTGCAAGAAAAAACAATGTCTGTGATTCCCGTGGATGATGCTCAGAACGTGACGTGATCAAATCACGTGACAAAAAGATGGCGGCTGAATTTCTCGCGCCATCTACCGAAGGAATTGGCAAACATCATGCAGTTAGTGATGTGCAACCCCAATAGATGTCCCAAAACGAGGCGCAAAATCGTTCATCTGACTTTCATACCCCTGATTTCCGACAAAGGAGAACTAAGAGAAGAAGTACGCATACGCAAATTAATTCATTGGTTCTGCCATCTATCGATTCGATGTTCAACTAAATCAAAATAAGATATTTCCCAATGACAGCTTGCTACTTTCTTGAATTATTACTTCAATTGACAAATTGACATGAGTAACTAAGGTTCATAATGATATAAATCGAAAGTGGCTTACTAATTATTCTGATTCTTCCATTCTACTGGATTTTCTACTAGCCACTAAAACGTAAATTTGCCCACTAAATGAAGACTGCAATCTACCAGATCTAGTAGAAAATCTACTAAGTTGGCAACCCTGATTGGGCCGCCTATTCATCGATACAACGTAATCCAAATGCAGCTAGGAGTCCACCGTGGCTTTACGGAGCAATATGGGTTCTCTGCCCGTGCGAGTCCACGTAGGAGTCATGCAGCCAGAATTTTCATTTTAGTATGGTGACACGTTGGTCTCACATGGCAGTCAACGGGTTAAACGCAACGTCACATCTCTATTTCAGAATACATATATTTACAATACGATCAGATTATATAATTATTTAGACCTTAGTTTAAATGAAACCAATTCATTACCCAAATTCAAGAAAAAACTGTAAGAAATTATACTTGATAACCAGCGAAATCTGTTGTAAGCCATAAGTGTCAACTGACCTCATGTTTTCCTAATGCCTTCACATAGATTTTTACTTTATTTTGTCGTTATTGTATTAATTTTCAACAAATATTCAGTTTTTATGTATATCGGATTATTAAGGTGGTTAGTTGGTAGAATAGCTACCTATATCCAAAATATTTGTTTTAGTGATAATTTTTTTCTCAATGGTAATGTGCATAGACAAAATTGTCGTTATTGGAGTGACACCAATCCTCACGTCTTCCGGGAAACTGATACTCAATATCCACAAAAAATTAACGTTTGGGCTGAGATATTGGGAAATCATATTGTGGGGGCTCTATACATCGAACAAACTTTAACCGGGGAACTGTATTTGGATATGCTGGAAAATACTATTGACCGAAATCATCGAAGCGAATCCTAATGAATTCGATACTGATATTGTAATTCAGAAAGATGGTGCTCCACCACACTACTACAGACAAGTTAGGAATTATTTAGATAACAATTTCCCCGGTCATTGAATTGGCCGTCGAGGTCCTGTGGAATGGCCAGCTCGCTCGCCAGATTTGACACCTTTAGACTTTTTTTGCTGGGGCTATTTGAAGCAAAAGGTGTACGAAACTGAACCTACTTCAATATTGGATATACTGCTGAGAATAACAAATATTTGTAGAAATATCGATGTTACTGTGTTTGAAAATGTTCTACGCGAAATTACGGACCGGCTGTTATTGTGTCAAGAAGTTCAAGGCAACCATTTCCAGCATCTTCTAAACTGAACTCAACGTATTTATTCGAATTATAAAGTTAAATGTCAATGTATCCAGGTATTTATTAAATGCACCACCATTTTGTAGTAGGTAAAGGTATTGACTTTATATTCTAGAGTTATAAAGTACTCGTCAGGAGCTTCAAAATGATGTGCCACAAGCCCCGTTTTCATATCATTTTTTCCAAGATGGCGCCCAGCGGCCATCTTGACATTTTCATCCGTCAATTTTATGGTATCCACGCATCAATCTCATTACCTCAAGTTTTAATTTTTTGAATTGATTCGTTCAAAAAGTCAAAGGGGAAGGGGGCATTAAAGAAAAGCACTGTATATATATAGAGAGAGAGAGAGAGAGAGAAAATGATCATGCGGAGAAAGGTATATAACAAAAAGTAGAAAAATAATGGGCAAAATCCGCAATAAAGAGGAAAGTGAATTCGAGCAGAAAATAGGATAGGTAACTCGAGCGATACGTATTTCTGCTGGTTGGCTTCATCAGGGCCAAAATGAATGCACATATGAAACTACAACTACTTGTAGTTGGGCGTGAAGTACCACAGCAAGTGGCTATAACCGGCCGCGTGGTTGTGGTTAGATGTCTCCTTGAAAATTCGAGGTCTTCTAGCCATTTTATACTACAATGTGTAGGTTGGCTCTTGTTGTGGACTTCGTGTGTCGTTTTTTTCCCTCTCCATCTTCGTTTCCTCAGGTTACACCCGTATCCGGATGTGTGGGCATGTGTATCTACTTTTGTAGTTTCATATGTGCATTCATTTTGGGTCTGATGAAGCCAACCAGCAGAAATACGTATCGC